AATATTCAAGGAAGGGGGTGGTAGGAGAAAAGCACACAGAAACTGTATTGGAGGGGATCTAAACATTCCCTCTAATGCGTTATGCGTGGTTTCCTCCGAGGCTATGGGTCCCCCTTCTTCCAGCTAGAGGTGGTACTCTTGTTTTATATATATATATATATATATATATATATATATATATATATATATATATATATATATATATATATATATATATATATATATATATATATATATATATAAAGTTTGTGAGGGTACCACCTCTGGTGCCAATGAGGGGACCCATAGCCTCGGAGAAACCATATATATATATATATATATATATATATATATATATATATATATATATATATATATATATATATATATATATATATAATATATGAGAGAGTGAGAGAGAGAGAGAGAGAGAGAGAGAGAGAGAGAGAGAGAGAGAGAGAGAGAGAGAGAGAGAGAGAGAGAGAGAGAGAGAGAGAGAGAGAGAGAGAGAGAGAGGGAGAGAGAGAGAGAGAGAGAGAGAGAGAGAGAGAGGGAGAGAGAGAGACGGGGGTGCCAACTTAGAAAAGACTCTTAGCCTGAGATAAGAAAATAAACGCCACTGCTCGTCTTAAATAATGTTTAGTATACACATCTAATGTGTCCCATACACATTTAGATAGATAGATATATATACACATGGGATCAACCAAGTAGTATATATATTTATTGGACATATATAGAGCTTATCAGTCACCTCACAAATCACAACGGTTGCTATAGGTAGTTCCTCAGTTCCTTGGGTAACATTGAGGTCATTCGTCTTCTGCAAGGAGCGGCCATCTTGTTCCACTGTGTCTGGCTCCGAAGCTCGAGATGAACAGTTCTACATGATGGTACAACATGTCTTAGTACTCCCAAGACTACCAGCTTGGTGTGGCAAATGTATTATGGCGCCAATAATTCACGCGCCTCCTCTAGACTCCAGCTGACAGGCTGTTGAATTCTGGAAATGACTGGAGAGCCTCTGGACGGCGTCTCACATCAACTACAGCAACAACGCTGCAACTTCCGGCCAGTCTTGTACAACACAACTGTTACAGACGACCAGATTTACTTATGAAAGGGTCTTCAAGGACTCCTGCTTGACATCAAGATTCAAGCTGCTGCTTGAACCTATTTGTCGGTCTGAACGCAAAGGCTCAAGTGTTGCTAGCTCGCCAAGGGCGAGTGCCTTCACTCTGTCAAACAAGCTAGCAACGTGTTGCTGCCTAATCACCGGCCGTGTCGAATAGGTCCTACCCCATTGCCTACCTTAGGTCACGTAACATGCAGAGCGACACTGACGGATATTACGTAAATGTTCTACCAGGCGCCATCTTGTTTGACTCTTGTATGACTGCAGGTTCGATTCCTCCGTCTTGGTTCTTTTTGTCATAGATATATCACGTCATTGGCATTGACTTGTGTATGGGACCTTCCTAACTTTGAGTGCCTTGACACTGAACAACAGCGTAGACACGCTCACACTACAGACATTGATTATTCATCACTTACAGTGGTCGACAGTGACAGTGGTCGACAAAAACAGTGGCCGACAAAAGCAGTGGTCAACAGTGACAGTGGTCGACAAAAGCAGTGGTCGACAAAAGCAGTGGTCGACAAAAGCAGTGTTCAACAGTGACAGTGGTCGACAAAAGCAGTGGTCGACAAAGCAGTGTTCAACAGTGACAGTGGTCGACAAAAGCAATGGTCGACAAAAGTGGTCGACAAAAGCAGTGTTCACAGTGGTGGTCGACAAAAGCAGTGGTCGACAAAAGTTGTTCAACAGCAGTGGTCGACAAAAGCAGGTCGACAAAAGCAGTGGTCACAAAAGCAGTGTGACAGTGGTCGACAAAAGCAATGTCGACAAAAGCAGTAGTCGACAAAAGCAGTGTTCAACAGTCAGTGGTCGACAAAAGCAGTGGTTGTTCAACAGTGACAGTGGTCGACAAAAGCAGTGGTCGACAAAAGCAGTGGTCGACAAAAGCAGTGTTCAACAGTGACAGTGGTCGACAAAAACAGTTGACGACAGTATGATGGTTATAATTCCAGCAATACCAAAATGTTATAATTCCATCTAACCACTGTATAAGGCACTTCTCTCTCTACTGACTAATGGCGTAAGTGATATTTATATCAGGGGAAAATAAATTGTTTTCCGCCACTATCTATGATATTCAATGTCAGTTGTGACTTCATACTAATGTCTGGACTCAAAACATCTGCTCAGTCTCGTTCGTATTATGACTGAGAAATGGCAAATAGACGTTAACCCTGACAAATGCAAGGTTATACGGATAGCAGTCGGAGCCAGAAGACCTCATATACAGTATAGGATGAAGGGAAGGCAACGTCCAACTTCCGAACAAGAGAATGACAAGATATCTGACACCAGAGACACATAGCAGCAGGATAACGCGGGCAGCATATGCCATACTGGCAAATGTCCGGTTATCCTCCAGCAACTGCACATAGATCCTTTCCGATCCCTTTGTGAGAACTATTATTGAGTATGCTGCCCCAGCATGGAACCCCCTACCTAAAGAAGCACTGAACAAAGCTAGAAAAAAGTCCAAAAATATGCAACAAGCCTCGTTCTTGAGTTAAGGGGCTTGAGCTATGAAGAAAAAACAGAAGGAACTGGGCTCTTTCCTCCATCGGAGGAAAAAAGAAATAGGGCAGACATGATATCGACGTACAAGATACTAAAGAGGATTGACACAGTAGATACTGAAGCTATGTTCAAATTAAGAAACATCAAAACGAGAGGACACAATTGGAAATTGGCAACTCAGATGAATCACAGGGATATCTGAAAGAACTTTTTAAGTCTAAAAGTCGTAAATAAGTGGAACGAACTAAATGAGGAAGATGTCAAAGCCAATTCCATAAACAGTTTTAAATGCAAATACGGTTAGAAAAAGAATGAAAAAAGTCACTGCATTAAACTGATGATAGTCGAAAGGCGAGGCTTAGGAGCTGATGCTCGACCTGAAACCGCAACTAGGTGCACACACACACACACACACACACACACACACACACACACACACACACACACACACACACACACACACACACACACACACACACGAACATCCACCTCCAATTCATCTTTCATATCCCATACCTGGTGACACCGGACCTGCCTCTCCACCCCTGTGCTTGCTCCCTTATACAGCCTGGAGCTCTGTCACAGTCAAACATACACACACACACCGCCTCACGCCCACAAAGTATTGCTCATCTATACTAGAGATGCTCATCGCAGTGTCGACGGCATCTCTCCTCCGCCAGGCCAGTCTCAATTAAACAATTACAAGCTAAACAAATATTCATAATACTAATTATTAACAGTCATAATTCGTTATGTATGAAGTCTGTATGCATGTATTCATAAATATTATTGCATATGATAGGGTGAAATTAATTATTTTAGTACAAATCGACATATTTTTCCTATTTTTCTTCACTCGAGAATAAAGTTGAAAAAGCGATTTGAAAAATTAACTCTTCAAATCTTATTTTCCAACTTTATTATGGACTGACGTTAATAGGTAAGTTCCGTTAACTCTTGTTAACATTATCACATGCTGGGTTTGAATTGTAACAAGTTGTTGTTGTTGTTGTTGTTGTTGTTGAAGACTAAGCCACCACAGGCACGGGCATGAATAACCCGTAGGTGGTAGATGTCTGGAATGAATGTGGTGTTTGGTCGAGTAATATCTTGAAGTGTTTTTAGGTTTCGTGATTACAAGTTGATGATGAAGATTAAGCCACCCAAGAGGTGGCACGGGCATGAATAACCCTTAAGTGATAGATCTTTTAGAGTGAATGTATACTGTGTGCTGAGGTCGCATTGAGTTCGTCAGTCCTTACTATGTGGCTGCTTTGGTGGGGGAGGACACACCTTGACAGTATTTATGAGGGTGTCCAACTGCTGGACACTTTTTTTTTACCAGAAGAGTAGCAGTGTTGATGGCTTCGGAGTTACAAGTTTCTGTGCTGCTGGGAATATAACCAGGGATGAGGTGAAGGTTAAGTACATAACTTATGAGCCAATAGACGGGATCGCCATAGGCCGTGCTACATGGACATTTAGTTTTGCATAGCTAAATCTAAAACAACAATAACAGCAGCCAATAGGCCCATTACCGCTTTCCAATTTCTCATGTTTCCATGCTGGCTGGAACACTTTAAAAAGACACATCCTATGATGTACGTTTTTAATACCTTAAATCCTTATAATAAATTATATAAATTACAAATAATTCCATACAATATATATGCTTATATACATGATAAATAAACATTATGTTTCAAAATAAAACCGGGACAAAGGAGCTTATAAAGCCACAAGTCAACACAAACCTCTTCACGCGTCTGATTTTTAATAGCATTTATTGTAGAAAACGGAATGAGAAGTGTGAGGGTGATAGAGATGAGGGTGAGTAGTGTGAGAGTGCGCTGGTTAATGAGGTACAATGTACATACGTCTGGTTAGTGCGCGCATGTCACAAACGGAGTATATTGCACACAGAAATCACAATTGCGTGATGCATCAAATGAACAAATCCACAAGGGCCGTAACGAGGATTCGAACCTCCGTCCGAGAGTATCCCAGACGCTGCCTTATATTGGTATATTATTGTTCGATGTTCTAACTGGGTCATTTAGTTTATAAACTGTACAATGTGGTTCCCAACTCTCTATGGGGCTTTCTACACATACATTCAGCACAAACACACACACACACAAGGGATGTGTAAAGGGTCTGGTAGCTGAGTGATCAGCACGCTGGTCTCGTAATCCTGCAGCTCGGGTTCGATTCCGGGTGCTGGCAAGAAACAATGGGCAGAGTTTCATTCACCCTGATGCTCCTGTTACCTAGCAGTAAATAGGTACCTGTGAGTTAGATAGCTGTTACGGGCTGCATCCTGGGTGTGTGTGTGTGTGTGTGTGAGTGCGCTGTAGAAAAAAAATAGTTAGTAGTTAGTAACAGTTGAGTGACAGTTGAGAGGCGGGCCGAAAGAGCAGAGCTCAACTCCCACAAGCACAACTAGGTGAATACACACACATTCATAATACATTTCTACTCATAACTGGGAGCACTCATTATCACTCATCAGATAGCCATCTGAGGGCAGCGGTTGTTGAGTGGGACTACAGGAGGTTTCGATACATATTTGTCAGATGTTCAGCAGTCTTGGGACAGTAGTTGTACAGCTCGTACGACTGGAAAAGCTGGAACACCTTGACGGGGTCGTCCAGGTGGTAGGGGTCATCTGTGTACTGGAGGAGGAGCGCTTCCCTCGCAGCAGCTGGCTCAGGAGGCGTCTGTGTGAGAGAGATCAAATGATGAGTTTAGCTGAAGTGTGATGGACTGTGTCCTCTCTCTCTCTCTCTCTCTCTCTCTCTCTCTCTCTCTCTCTCTCTCTCTCTCTCTCTCTCTCTCTCTCTCTCTCTCACACACACAGAACATAGCAGACAACACTCTAGAGTCGCAGTCCTAAGGGCACGGGTTCGATTCTTTTTTTTCACCTGATATTTCTGTTCCCCTTGTAGTAAATAGGTATATGGGAGTTAGACAGCTGCTACGTACTGCATCCACACACACACTTCGGGAATCAGTACCAAAGGCAACCAACGGTTAGAAAAACGGGTCCCAAGAGCTAACAGCTGGATCCTGCAGGCAAAAATAAAAACTACACACACGCAACCAACCAAATTCTATACAAATATTACTAGCAAATGCCTTTGTGACTCCTCATATATACAGTAGAGACTCTCACATGACTGTGAACATGCTTGCTGGATCACCTACATCGCTGACCCCTCCCCCAGCAGGCGTGCCGCGACCCCGTCTCCAGCAGGCGTACCTGGTCGAGGTGCATGTGAAGGACTGCGCTGGCGGGAAGGACGGTGAAGGTGTGACAGTCGGTCTGGGGCAGATTCTCCAGCTTGTCCTCCCCACACACCTCTTGTACGGCCTTCGTCAGCAGCTGCCTCTGGCTAGTGATCGGGTCAATATCCCCGCCGTTGACATCACCGACCTGAGAGAGAGGGACAGAGAGGAGTATTGACTAAGATGTCAGTTCTCTACAGGAAGAACACGTTGGTATGCGTTTACCACTAGCAAGCTCCTGATACCAATACTCTGCCCAGGGAGCTCATTCTCTTGCTCTCTCTTCACAGTTTGAAGTAAATAATGAACATAAAAGCTGGACTTCAGTTTGTACAGTTTTTGCTAATGGAATAACATAGGTTTATCTACACGCAGAAATCACAATAACGTGAATTATCAAATGAACAATTCCACCGTGACGAGAGTTCGAACCCTCCTCACGGCCCTTGTGGATTCGTTCATAGGTTTATCTGTTCTGACCACATATAAACCATGACATAATTATTAGCTCATTTGTAAATGTTATCCAGCAGAACAGAAACAAAGATTACCATGGACAAAAATGAAACCAAACATGACCTAATTAAATTAAAAGGAACCCAATAAAATATAAATTGCTAGACACATATAATAACACAAAGTATGACGGGTTGAAACCGCTTTGGCATTACTTTGGCATTACATATACCTTGAGAGTGGGACACTTAAGTAGCAAATACCACACAACGAAAATATACAAGCCAGGTAGTGAGGATTAACAGGAAAGGTAGAGAGAGAGAGGTCTATAAAACAGGTAGTTGGAATACACAGACCAGGTAGAGAAAACCAACAAACCAGATAGTAAGCGAGAGCTTCCAGGAGCACATGGTGAGCAGGAATGGCCATTAGCACGGGATCGAGCGTTCCACTATGACGGTGAAGCACATCTTGACGTCCCAGCATCAACATCCCGGATCTTGGTCCGTGTGCCTCCACCCACAGTGGGCGTGTGGGCACCACGCCCAGGGGCAGCACCACACCGCCAGCCTCCCACAGCATCGCCACCCGCGCCGCCGCCCACACAGACCACTCAGGATACGAGGTCCAGCCTATCATGTCTGAAAGCCGTTCAAGTGGAGTTCTGGCGACGGTCTGAAAGAGACAGACCCAGCAGGGTATGTTGATATACATATATACATATATATATATATATATATATATATATATATATATATATATATATATATATATATATATATATATATATTATATATATATATATATATATATATATATATATATATATATATATATATATATATATATATATATATAAATGGTACATATAAATATATGAAATACTTGATCATCTCTCAACCTGTGCTAACGATATATTAAAAATACAAAAAAAATTGTTTCTTTAAATTGGTAAAATATATATTTTCTGTAATATCTTAAATTGTTTGTAGAGTTTTTCTCACGTTTCTGATTTTTTATATATATTTTAAAGACAATTATTATAAATCTAGAATGTACAAAGTTTAATTTTTTAATTAGATTTGTTTTGGATATAATAAAATTCGCAGGGACGTGACTCTATAATGGAAGTTACTTTGATAAATAAATATAATGTTCCAGCTTTGTCCATTTACGTACTAAATTATGACAGTATGTAATTATTTAACGCAATTTTTTCCGTTTTCTATCTCTTCCACTTTTCTATCACAGGAAGCACCAGGGCAAAGCCTGGTGCTTTGCTCTCTCGGGAGAAAGTGGGAAACAGTCTGACAGTTTGACATACTTAAACAGTCTGATAAGTCTGACTTGGTAGGGTTATGGGGACCCAATAAGAGCAGAGATATAAGGATAATAGGAGCAGGGATATAAGGATGATAGGAGCAGGGATATGAGGATTATAAGAGTAGGAATATAATGATTATATGAGCAGGGATATAATGATTATATGTACAGGGATATAAGGATTCTAGGAGCAGGGATATAAGGATTCTAGGAGCAGGGATATAAGGATAATAAGAGTAGGGATATAATGATTATACGAGAAGGGGGTATAATGATTATATGAGCAGGGATATAAGGATTATAAGAGCAGGAATATAAGGATATAAGAGCAAGGATATAAGAATTATAAGAGAAAAGATATAAGGATTGGGTGAAGGAATCGATCTCTAACCCAACAAGAAGCTTGGCCGACGCTGTACCGACCAGAGAGTGCGAATGATCACTGAAGGGTATTTTAAAAATTCTTATTCACAAATTTAATTTAAAATTATTTAAAAAAAGTTGCCATTTTATCACTTCACATTGAATTAAAGACCAATAAAGTGGCATTTAAAATTTCCACACACCTTTGTTGTTTGAAAACTCAGTTGAACTTTCAGAAGCGTTACAGCTTCATCTCGTGTTCAGTATGTGTTGAACATGGTGTTCAGTACACTAATTACATCTATTGATACTCTTAGAGCAGCCCGTCCTCTCCAGCTGTCACAACGTCGCAAAAATGATGTGCTAAATGCTCTAACCTAACCGAGGACCTAAACATAAAACGTAACAGCCCGTCAATTTAGCGAGCAGCTATAGTTTATAGTACATCATATTTTGTCGTTGGGGGGATTTGTACGTCAAAACTCAATGTATTATTCAAAAGAACAGGTTGCTTATATCACCTGAAGCTACAGACAATTCTCCATATCTTCTGTGTTATCGACATAACACAGAAATTCATTTTTTTTGCATCTGTTGAACCTACTTTATCGTAATCTTGTCTATACCTGCCACATCTGAGAGCATCACCATTTTTTTCCCCATTCTAGGCTCCTCCACTAAATCTTTCTCCCCTGACCCCAATAAAACCCATTGACTCAATAAACAGAGAAATCAAACTAACGTGATGTATCAATGAAGAAAAACCGTAGGAGTCGTGGTGGCGTTCTAATCCTAATCACGGGCCCAATACGAGCTCACCATTCACTCACCTTGGGCACGTTGAGGAGTCCAATGTTGACTCGCTGGAGGCGGGACAGCCACTGGGCCCACACATCCCCGGGCCTCACGGACGACCCCCACAGGAACACGTACACCTGACGTCCAACATGACCACTGATGCCCACCGGCTCCCTCTTAGAGCTCCCGGCTCCCTCTTAGAGCTCCCCGGCTCCCTCTTAGAGCTCCCGGGCTTGTACTTGTCCATATCCTCGCTAGCTTCCTCGACTTGGTCGGCTCTTATGGTGGCGGCTTCAACGGAGCAGGCGTCGAGAGCAGTCATGTGGTCGTGGGAAGGTGGAGGGATGTACATCATAGGCGGAGGAAAGGGTAGGGGCTGTTGGACGAGATTTAGAAGAAAAGAAGATAAAAGATGTGTTAGGAGAAAGCAGATAAAGATGGTGGTAGCATAAAGCATTGAGGAGCTGCCTCGTACGGGCCTTCTGCAGTTACCTTCATTCTTATGTTATTATGTTCTTATAATTGCTTGGAAACTGAGCGGGGAATGAAAGAACTGCTGATTAGGAACGCTTGAGACCCTAGATTAAGGATTTGGCAACAACGTACACAATTATTAAAACATAAAGACTAAATTTAAGACTTCAGTAAAAGCATTGTTGCCAGACTTAAAAATTATTTCATGACGGCTGTTTTTAAATACTCTAAATCATATTTATTCAGTGAGATATGGACACAGACTTATAAAGAGACAATTGACGTACCTTAGAGTGCATGAGAGTGAGAGTTTGACTTCCTTGCTGCACGAGGGCTATTGTAGCGAGTACGACCACTCCTAAGACCACCGCCATCCGGTACCACGATCCAACCACCATCATGTATCCCACATACCCCACTGTTAAGTAACACAAGGGTAAGTAACCCCACCGTTAAGTAACACAGGGGTAAGTAACCCCCCCGTTAAGTAACACAGGGGTAAGGCACAGGCCCTGCATTCTGTCACTATGTACCCCACTGTGCAGCCCACTATGTACCCCACTGTGCAGCCCACTATGTACCCCACTGTGCAGCCCACTATGTACCCCAATGTGCAGCCCACTATGTACCTCACTGTGCAGCCCACTATGTACCTCACTGTGCCTCACAAGCAAGCCAGTGTTAATATACCAATCGTAGTGAGGCTTAATTCAATAACAGACGTACCAACCTTTCCTGATTAGACTGCTCAAACAACATAGGTGTAGTCGGAGTCCGAGGCGAAGGGGTTACCCTTAATAAAGGGGGTTCGAATCCCACTTCAGATTGATTTACTCAGGTGTGTGTGTGTGTGTCCGAAACACTGATTCACTCAAAGTAAGGTGTGTGTAGCCAAAATAAGTAATTCTTGGTGCTTGCGTCACCTGCTAATATATATCTGAACAGAAGTAAACTGTCCCAGCAAACCGGTTCACATATATTACGTCACTATGTAACTGAATGTGAACAAATTCAAGAATATGTAAATAATTGTAATCATAAATGTTCAGAAAATGAGTATTTTATTCATAATGATGTGCTAATAGACGTTTTAGGCACGTGTCCCAAGTTTGTTTACTGTAGGGCGTGGGTGCACGTGGTTGTAAACTTTGCACCACCACCACCCACCGGGAGGGGAGCATCATAGTCAAATCCAAATATATGTAAATTGCTTAGACGAGAGATAGTTGTGGTCCAGCTCTTGGAACCAATATGTGACACTGAAACCATTTGACTTCTCAGTCACAAAATTTTAATAGGGTGTATAATAAACTATATATACTAGAACTCTCACTTGAACTCTCACTAGAACTATATAATATATATATTATATATAATAATAATCGATTTTCTACTTACGCGTTGGTCTGGGTCCAAGAATCATGGTGTTGTTCCCTTATCACTTCAACTTCTGGCGTATGTCTCAGCGTACTATTGAGAAAGTAGAGATACACAGTGATCCCCGACAGAGTCTACGATACCATCAACGACGACTTGAGTGAAGAGTTAGCCTCTGGAAGGTCCAGTGACAACATTCCTTACTTCAGTTTCTTATTTTCTAAGCTTTTAATGAGCTATGCAGTTATTCCCATTGTCCTGTTTTTCACATTAAATAACGCTATATTATGTGGATGAAGGAAAGGTCAGGTATTAATGATGTTAGGATCATATGTCAACATATTACACAAAAAAACATGCGTTCTTGTAGCTTTAATAATGTCAACAAAGACAAATAAATATTTGATCCCTTCTGAAAAGGCACTGAAGACGGTGTTTGTGTATGGAATACTTACACTAGTTTCTAGCTTTATATACAGAAAGCTGTTTTTCAATTTATAATCACTGAGTCATGTTCATCTGCTAAATCTAAAAACCTAAGAGCCGATATTTCTTAAAGAGTGGCAATGGGGCCACCTCAACAGGTGTGTTACAAACCCATATCAGTCACGTTTCATCGTGGCTAGTCCCAATGATTTGGTCTACAACTTTGGACAGACATACAAAGTGATCTACAGTATAAGTATGTGGTATTTAGTTTGAGGAGATCAAGGGCCAGTAACTTCATCGGTTATTAATTATTGTCTTCCTTTCCTTATTGACCAACCACCAATTATTACCACTTCTAATCAATAATCTATAATTACCACTTCTAGTATTTATCTGAGGTATCTGAGCTACTAATAGTAACTATAGATTAAGAACATAAGAATCTAGGAAACTACAGAAGGCCCATTGGCCTACATGTAGCATCACCTATTTAAATCCACCCAAACTCATTCATATATAAATTCTATAGAAACGGTAGAGGGCAACACTTAATAAAGCAGATCCAACTAACAGCAAAATTATTCTCAATGAAGCTAATTTAACTAACTTAATTAATTCGTATAAGCACAGACTTTGTGGTGGTCAAAGTGGGAAAAATTCTCCCGCGGTACCTGCCACACGCTTCCCAGAATCCAAGTTCATTTGTTCATTTGTTCAGAAGTTCCGGCATCCATTGGGGAGTCTCCTGAGAGTGTAATCATAACAATGTCTAATGGAGGACACCACACGAGGCTCTCTACCATATATATATATATATATATATATATATATATATATATATATATATATATATATATATATATATATATACACACCCTCAAGCACTTAGAATCCTGGTTCAATACGGTGTTTACACCGGCTAGATAAAGGATGGGACACACAAGTCCACTACGGGCTCACCATAGCCCGTGCTACTTGGAACTTCTTGTTCCAAGTAGCTAAATCTAATACAACAACATAAAGGATGGATGGTCATCCGAAAATTGGGTTTGATAATTCACTTACGCAAGTATTGGGTGTTTTCTTCACCTTCATTCAAACACTATATTGATGTAGTAAGCCTCTCCATAAATGGACTATGGGGTCGAATGGGACGCACTTACACTAATACTACTAATACTACTACAATTGTCATTATTTCCCACAGTGATTTTACCAATATACAACCTCTAAATCTATATCTAAATCAGAATTGCTTAGAATTTCTTTCAATTGTCTATCATTATCTTCTAATTCAATATCACTTAATTTAAATTCGGAACAATTTTCTCCAATCACTATGCCATAGTAGCCGCCATTGCAAAATAGTTATCAGCGTTGCAATCATTTCTCCTTCACTATCACCACTATCGTTATCAGTGGTCACCAATGGGCAGCACACTCCCTGATCATCACCAGTCTTGTCTAGCACTCGTCAGAGGTATAATCACCATGAGAAGATGTTTAGAGAGGGCGTCACTAAGCACTACTGGTGAGTATTGACTAGGCAGGGGCTAGGCTAGCGACCGCTGCCCTGGAGACCATGTATACACTGAGACTTGCTACCTATCCACCATCACACTCACCATCACACTCACCATCACTGTCACTTCCACACAAACTCATCACCCGCCTCACAATCACAAGGCGAACCTCACCAACAACCACACCACCATAATCACCGCCAAATACTTCACGACCCTTATCGGTATGATCAACCTCACTATCTTCATCACCATCCACACCACTAACACCACCACCATCCACACAAACAATGACACCAGCATTGCACACTCCTGTACTATTAATCTCACCAGTAAATACAACACCAACTTCACCACACCACCACCACACCACCACCAACCTCACCACACCACCACCAACCCCATCACAACACCACCAACCTCACCACACCACCACAACACCAACTTCACCACACCACCACAACACCACCAACCTCACCACACCACCACAACACCAACTTCACCACACCACCACAACACCACCAACCTCACCACACCACCACAACACCACCACAATACCAGATGCTTGACCATTAACCTCACCACAATCACCACCCCTCTGTCAGTCACTTCTGTCTGTCTTGGGAGCTAGTGAAGGCGTGTGTGTGTTAGTGTCGCCCCGTGCCCGCGTACTGGGGTCAGTACTCCGGTGGTACTGGTTCCAGTCCTCATAGGGGTCGTGAGAGGAACTGACCTCTGACCTGAAGGGTCGTGAGAGAACTGGCTGGTGGGATGGGGGTGTGTTACCTGGGGGAGGGGGGATGGGCTGAGACCTAAGGGGAGATTGGCTGCTACATAGGGGAAGATGGGCTCGTCCTAGTGGGAAATAGGAGGGGTAACCTAGGGGGGAAATAGGGATGTGATCTAGGGGGAATAGAGGTGTAACCTAGGGGATAATAGGGGAGTAACCTAGGAGAAATTTGATCTGAACAGCGTGTAGACACGAGCGTGCTTGTGCCTACCTATTTGCACTCACTCATTTATGCCAGCAAATATTAAATTCCAGCTCTTGGATTCCGCCTCTTTTAGCTACAGGTCGTGTAAAGTCACGACTATCGACTGTCATGTCTTAAATCATATCTTTTAGAACATGTTATGCTATTCTGTGTCTCCAGCTTCCACCTATATCATTTTGTTTTAAAGAATTTGTAATGTCTCTCTCATGTCTCCTCTGGAGATGGTATCTTCAGTTCCTTTAGCCTTTATTCGTGTCTAGTCTCACATTTTTCTCACACCTGCAAGTTTATTTACGTTTTCAAGTATCCATATGTGATTTTTGAACTGCATACCCCATGACTGGTCTTACGTAGGTGGCTAAAACAGTGAAGAAGGCTTTCTTATTGAGGTCCCTGAAGGCTTGTCTAATGCTCACCAGTTATAAGTCTACCAATAACGTAAACTTTTTTAGTTTGGTCTCGAAGGAAAAGTTGATATTAATATTGCTCCTAATGCTTTTGTTGATTCAGATAAGTAGTAGCCCTTCATGTTTAGTGAGTGAGTGAGTGAGTGAGTGAGTGAGTGAGTGAGTGAGTGAGTGAGTGAGTGAGTTTGGTGAGAAACCAAGCCCAGTGGGCAACACAACACATTTGGGACTCCACCAGTCCATTCGTGACCAAATCACTTTACAACCTCTCCCCCCCCCTCTCCCCCCCACCCTCCTTCTACCCCTCTGATACAAGGGCCAAATTTAATAACGAGCCACTTAAACAGCGCAACCACTAAATGAGCGCTAGAACAAGTTGTTGTAGCGAAAGTAATTGGCAATATTACAAAAACTAGCGGCGAATTACGGCAGATCATTAGCCTGGATAACTAGGCCAACTGCACTTGTTAAACCCAGGCGAAGGGCGATCTGGCCCTTCCTGCTCGCCCGTATCGCTCGAATGACAAGCGTTCAACTTCAAGTTTAATGACTGCTGTTAACAGTGTACAGAGAGCTATGAAACATTTTTGGGTTACTGTCTAGAAACCTTACTTTGTATAACGTGTGTGTGTGTGTGTGTGTGTGTGTGTGTGTGTGTGTGTACTTACCTAATTGTACTTACCTAATTGTGCGTGTGTGTGTGTGTGTGTGTGTGTGTGTGTGTGTGTGTGTGTGATTACCTAAGTGTAGTTACAGGATAAGAGCTACGCTCGTGGTGTCCCGTCTTCCCAGCACTATTTTTCATATAACGTATGTTATATGACATACGTTATATGTGACATATATATGACATATATAACGTATGTTAAATGACAAATAAAATGCATAGTCTGTGCATATATATACATATACATAGTATATAATAATATGTGTGTGTGTATTTACCTCGCTGGGGGTTGAGTAAACTCTGGTGGAAGTTGAGTAATTTCAGTGGATTATAGTGGCTGTTGTTGTAGTGGTTCAGTGGATTAAAAGGGTTGCAGTAGTATTTCAAGAGATTGAAGTAGTTTCATTGTAGAAGTAGAAGTAAAAGAGATTTAAGTGAGATAGTAGTTTTGTTTACACTTCTCTAGTGGTTTTAATAGTTCACTGGATTGTTCTATAAAAAAGAACAGCACTGTTCAGTTAACAAATTAGTCGGTATTGTCCTTATAATATTCATTATAACCCACATAACATTCAGTCTGGTACATTTAACATTCAAGATGACTCACATACTATTCACTGTGACCCCATATAACATACACTGTGACCCATATAATATACAAAATGACATATAACATGCATTAGAACATATGTAACATTGAAAATGATAATATTAGGGTAAAAATAAAAACGAAAATAATTTATAAATACTTAAAATTTCTCATTCACTTAACATTTTGTATATTGCTATTTGGTTTATAGGAAATTAAATGGAAGATTCTTTCGATCATTCAAAAAATTTGAAATGTTATTATTAAATGTGTGACAGTAAACGGAATATTGCAAATTTTACAATTGGAGGTACACCACTTGTAAACCAGCACATTAGAAGTAAAACTAGACTAGTACATTACAAGAACACCCAGGTAAGTACATTACAAGCACAGCTAAATGAATATACTACAAGTACAGCTAAGTGAGTATATTACAAACAAACGTAGATGAATACACTACAAACAAAGCAAGGTAAGGATATTTCAAGCATAGTTTAATGAGTACATTAAAAACACAGCTAGTTGAGTACATAAGTACAGCACAGATTGCTATCAGCACAGATAGGTGAGTACTTTCATGCACATCTAGGTGAATACATTACAAGAGCAGCCAGGTGAGAACATTACAAGCCAGGTGAATACATTACAAACACAGCTAAGCGAGTACCGCAATAAACAGTTTTAGGAATTAAAAAACACCAACTCACAATGACCCTTTGTCACGAAGCGTATTGGTGGTGAGTAATGTTAATTAACCTGAAAGCAACAGTCGTTTGTGACCTTGACGGGCTTCGACAGGTAGGTGGTTCCATGGTATTGTAGTTCACTTACCACGCACTCTTATTTGTGAGGATGCGCTCCAACTCACTTTCTGATATGATGACTAGATGACATCAGGCCCCAGGAGTAGTTTCCAAGTCCACTTTATAGAAGTAATGAATGGATTTTCTGTTAAGTTTCAGCTACACCCATGTCGTGTTCCGTGTCTGGCGAGAGAGAGAGAGAGAGAGAGAGAGAGAGAGAGAGAGAGAGAGAGAGAGAGAGAGAGAGAGAGAGATATTGAGAGAGAGAGAGAGAGAGAGAGAGAGAGAGAGAGAGAGAGAGAGAGAGAGAGAGAGAGAGAGAGAGAGAGAGAGAGAGAGAGAGAGAGAGAGAGAGAGAGAGAGAGAGAGAGAGAGAGAGAGAGAGAGAGAGAGAGAGAGAGAGAGAGAGAGAGAGAGAGAGAGAGAGAGAGAGAGAGAGAGAGAGAGAGAGAGAGAGAGAGAGAGAGAGAGAGAGAGAGAGAGAGAGAGAGAGAGAAAGAGAGAGAGAGAGAGAGAGAGAGAGAGAGAGAGAGAGAGAGAGAGAGAGAGAGAGAGAGAGAGAGAGAGAGAGAGAGAGAGAGAGAGAGAGAGAGAGAGAGAGAGAGAGAGAGAGAGAGAGAGAGAGAGAGAGAGAGAGAGAGAGAGAGAGAGAGAGAGAGAGAGAGAGAGAGAGAGAGAGAGAGAGAGAGAGAGAGAGAGAGAGAGAGAGAGAGAGAGAGAGAGAGAGAGAGAGAGAGAGAGAGAGAGAGAGAGAGAGAGAGAGAGAGAGAGAGAGAGAGCAAGCTTTACTCACAATTTAAGCTTTAACTGTCGTCAAGTATATACCTGAAGCTTAGCATACAGATGTGGCACTTTGGGCAGTTACGTTCTCTGATAATTTCAACTTCCACCATTCGTGAGTGCGTATTAACAACTTCCTTGAGCTTTCTATCTCATGTGTGTTGATTCGGTATAGTGCCTTCATGTAATGGCTATGTGTGTCAAATTTAGTCATAGTTACACACAAGTAGGATCACATGTAGTTGAAGCAAAGAGATTTAAGTGCTAAAGTTTTCCGAACGTTATTAAAACATATAATGTCACCCTGTGTATATATAATCATGAGATTCTCCTGATTGTCCAAATCACAGGGAAACAAGGCAAGGAAAATTGTATCAGTTCCCTAAATTGGAATGGTAGGGTTGCTTAGCCATTCCCGTATGAGATTTCTCACTGAACTACCTGTTACCGTTTCCTTGAAGCGCCTCACACCCTCTTATGGTTCCCTCCAATACCCTTGAGTTGTTAATATATTTAGGTAATTATAGAAATTTGCTGGTTTATCACTAATCCCCTTTTTTAGCAAATTTAATTGACAGAAAACATCTTCTATGTTAAGAAAGCGGGAAGGCTTTGTCATTAAATGAAAAAAACGCATCAATAGATGGAAAAAAACACCTCCACTGTAATGTATTAGATATTATTATCACTTGATATCTTATGGAAAACTCAGACAATGATAAGAGACGAAAAAACACTAATCTAAAAACCAGTGGAACGTGGAAATAATAAATATA